TATTTTCTTCATGCATTGAAGTTTCTTTCGACAGCGTCGACAGAGAAGTAATTTGGCAACTACTTCAACACTACAGTTTTAGTTCCACAAACCTTTATCAACGTCATTCAACAGCTATTATACTCTATGGTGCTATAAGCCAAGTGATTCACGATGTAAAGCTCAGTGACGCCTTTAAAGTGAAGACAGGAGTAAGAAAAGGTTACCGCCTACTGTCATCAATGATGTTCTTGATTGTGGTCGACTGGACTAGGCTGGAGCATGCAACAAACCGTGAGTGATGAGAAGATGGGCATACGCTGGCTGAACTGATGACAAGACCCTAGAAGATTTGGGTTTTGTCGATGATATGCGTATAATATCGCACAAACTAGAAGATCTACAGGCGAAAACTAACAAGTCTGCAGAAGAGGCAGAGAAGGAAGACCGGACTTCAGGTGAACGCAGACAAGACAGAGGTGATGAAGATACACAACAACAAGCACCAATCACCATCAATGTGAGAAACCTAAAAAAAGTGGTCTCTTTCACCTACCCATCTACCTAGGCAGCATCGTTTCAACTACGGACGGCACAAGCACAGATGAGGACATCAAAGCCAGGATTGGATAGATAGTAAGACAGGCCTTCATTAACCTGAAATCAGTGTGGAGATCTACTGCACTGCACTGCAGTGCACTGTACCCAGCACAAAGTGTGACTAAGATCCGGGTTTTCAACACCAACGTCAGTCAAGTCAGTGCTTCTATGTGACGACTGAAAGACATGGTGTGTTACGAAAAGTATTTCCAACAAATTACAGACATTCATTGACAGATGCCGCCTACACTCACTCAACACTGATGATCAGATGGTCAAAATAATCAGAATAAGTAACAAAGAACTTTGACCTGGCAACCAACCAACCGATGAAGAACTCATCGCCCAACAAATATGCTCTCGAAGAAAGTGGGGATGGGTTGGGTTGGACATACACTGAAAAGAGTGTTTGAGGACCTCACGCGCCAAGCAAGGCTGTCGAGTGAAACCCAAATTGGATACAACGAGTTGGGCGTCGTAGGGTGAAATGGATGAGCTGGTGTGGAGAAGAAATGAAAGGTTGTTGGCAGTCTTGGAGCCAGGTAGAAAAGACTAGAGAGAACAGAGTGCAATGGAGATGTGCTGCTGAAGCCCTATGTTGCACTAGGAACCTAGGGAACAAATAATAATAATAATGAACACTGTCGGCTGCATTGTCATACCTTTAAATGCCCATTAAGTTTCATAAATAGCCTATTAATCCCTATTTTGAAATTCGACCAAAATGGTTTTGTGAAGCAGACGTTTTCTTAGAGAAGAAACACCTAATCAGTCTCAATGCTAACCATCATTTACATATGTTGACTACCATTTTTAAAAGCATCGCACTCATATAAAACTAATGACTTTAATTTTGGTTCCAAGAGTGAAAAGATGAAAATTTCTTGTTCTATCCTTATAACCTTCTCATTCTTATTTTGCCTTACTTAAAGTGTATTGAATATTGAGATGAATCAGCCAGTATCCGTACTTACGGTTTAACTATTTATAATGTAATAATGTAATACATTGATAGCAAACCACTAAGGATGCAACTCAGAAGGGTTATTTATCATGATATTTTGTACATTACCGATGAAATATTATAACTTTTTCTTTGAAATATCAATTTGCGCAATGTGTGTCAATTCATCTTCTTCTTCTACCTTGCCATGCTGTTGATGCAATCACGTCATCTGTTGCGCTTCTCTGGTCAGAATAATTATCCATTACTGTGAATTGCGGATGACTCCTTCTGACCTCTCAGAATATACTGCTTAAATGCATTTTTATCAGTAGCGCCCACTACGACATCACATGTCTCGGATAACCTTGAACTTACAGTTACTATGTCTAAATTAAGTGATTAGTTACTTTATTAGTTTATAAACAATTATCTCCCTGTGTCCATTTGGACAAAATAGTAAAGGAAATTTCATAGGTCCCTAAGAATAATCGCATATGAACGCATCCCTACGCTACTGAGATAACGGATTGATAATAAACATTCAAGTACCTCAACTTTGAAGCATATAGGTGAAATAGAACACCAATCTGTCTACAAAACACAGCCACTGGAAAGATAAGACCACATCTGTGTGCTTGTTTGTAATCATTCATTACTTCCAAACCTCACTTGAAAATTCGGTTTTGGTTGAAATTCATCATGGACTGACATCAGTTAGGAGAACACTGGAAACCCAGGTGCAATGGACAACTGTTTTATCACAGTTTATAAGTCCTCAGAAGTGCAGAGCCATGACTACACACCACCAGGCATCGAACCCAGGAACTTCGGACTCCATGACCAACACATTACCATTGAGATACTGGGTTGGAATCCAATCGTTCACATTTCTTACTTTTGTCAGTTCACGTTATAGCGTGACCTAAGCCCAATACTGACGTTAAGTAACTGTCCTCATTTCAACCTGGCTAACTCTACTGATCATGAATGCGAACTTCTGGGGAATCGCATACTAGGACAAGATAGCTCTCCATTGCTCCCAGGTTTCCGATGTTCCTCTGACTTATGTCAGTCCATGAGGAATTCCAACATAAAATCAATTAATAAACCTCCACAGACCTCAAGATAAAATCCGGTTTAAATCAAAAGGCTTATACAGTGTTTTGTTTCAGTGTAGTATTCGTCATGAAGTGTTATCAGTTGGAGAAACAATGAAAACCTGGGAACATTGAACAGTAGTATAGAATTAGTAGGGACTTCTCCAGCGGTGCGCACCCAAGACTTTGCCACGTTTTCAATTGAAGACCTGCAGATTTCGTGGCGAGCACGTTACCAGTAAACCATTAAGTTGGAATTTAATGGTCCAGATTTTCTGAATTCGGCCAATTCGAGATTTTACGCAATCATTTTCTCATACCTTAATATTTTTATCATACATCAGGTAACCTGAGGCATGTACTTGTGTGATCAGATTTTTGAAAATGTGTTGCCCAAAAACATTACAAGACTCAGAAAAACTGTATTTTATTTGTTTACAGCTTTTAGAACAGCACAGAGTAAGTACATGCAATTTGTACTAAATATACTAATCTGAAATGATAAAGTAGTTGATTATGTCAAAAAAGGGCTTGTTTTAAAGTACACAGATAAATGTAACTCGAGAATTTATGAATGATATGGTTACATACTGAGATACAGCTCGTCCCCTGCTGTCTAACACACTTCTTTTCAGGAATCAAGTAAGGACCAACTTTCACTAATTGATGCTGAGTTAGTTTCAATTTTCCACCTTCTGTTCTGAGGATAAGACCGAACTGGCGAGTGCAAACCGTAATAAGTATCAGTCGCCTTCATTTTTTATAGAAAAGGTAACTACATTCATACGGATCTGTTATTATATAGTCATACAGTTCTTTCAAAGTGCTAGTGATGTTTCCACTATTCACAAACTTGTTGTAAATTTGCAGACCACTTACTGTTCCTGAGAAGAAAGTTGAATCCTCTGATTAAATGGTATCTTAAAAATTTCAGAAAGTTTACATAAAAATCTTGTTCATTATGGAATGACTAATAACACATGTATAATAAACTGCCTGACAGAATGCAATCTGCTTTGATGATTCCGCCAGACAATTTTATATGCACAAGCAAACACTGTATCCACACCCTAATGTAATAGGTTCCACATCTTTATAATTAGTATGTTCGGTGTTTTCGGTATGAATCGATCACTGAAACTTACTTGAGAGTATTTATTTACTAACAGTGCTACAACTAAATTACTTTGGTAATGTAATGAACATCTGGTATAATAAATATTATCTTACAAGTAATTAAAGCAATGATGGGGATTGAAATCATTATTTTTAATATTTCGTTGGTAATTTCTGTTTGATGCAATAAACTTAAATTTCTATACAGTCTGTTGAAATCACTAGCCGTGTCAAATACTAAAGAAACTACGGTAATCAACGTTAAATTTAAATTACAGAAAGCGCTTAGATTAACATCAAAACATACGATATGATACATATAGAAATACGCGACTGTTTGAAAGCATTTGATATGAATTCGAAAGTATTTTCCCAAAATGAATCTGTTTCCTTTTTTCCATACAACTTTATTGAACTTATGGGTTGAAGGCTGAAGCAAAAGACCTTCGGTTTTAACAGATATCTCCATAACTCCCCATATTAGAGTATGTTGTCGATTTCGAACCATTGTACTTGCAAGGAATCCATGATACAACTAGAAGAACATGACCTATAGTTTACGTGCAACTTAAAGACAATTTTAATATATTTAGGTTAAATGGTACTGAAACATTTGTCAGCTCGAGGTAAGACTGACGAATCAACCAAATACTCCATATAGATACTTTTGAATAATGCAAAAACTGCTGTTATTTAAATTATCGTTTCAAATAATTTCCTTTATCTAGTACACGTCTTTGTTGAGTTCTTTTTGAAGTTGATTTAGTTATCCCCTATGTTCTGGTTTCGTTTCATCAGAAATTGGATAATTATTTGCCAGGAACAACATTTAAGGGATAAATATTTCATTTGCTATCTATAAAGGTATTCAGGCAAATATACATCCTGAGAAATGGATATCCGTATAGTTTTAGTAGTCAGATTCGTGTTCACTTTAAACGAACAAGCCTTTTCATTGATTTCCCTTCATAAAATGAAGCCGTTGTATTGTCATACACTAACGTACTACTAAATATTCTTCCAAAACATACGGTATCTCATTGGAGAAACTAAATGTTTCCTCAGTGAAACATTGTTCATTTTTACATAACTTTCACTTGATCGTTTTGATCATAAAGACTAATTTTTTGGAAAATTTTTAAAGAAAAACCGTAAATATTTTGAACACAAAAATGTATTAAATTCAGTAAGCGCATATTAAATGATGGTTATTTACAATTTAATGGAAATTGACCATTTGTGCTGTATATGGGTTTATTCGTCTATTTTCTTATTTCATCCATTTTGTCGACAATATTTTGATGACTGAATTCATGATTAGACTGTTGAAGGAATGAGGTATTTTCAATAGGAGTCTGTTGTTCATTATCAATCTGACTTGAAATTTGAGTGTTATTATTAATCCGGACAATTCTCATTGAAACTATAGGATGGGTACATGATGCAGTTTCTGATCTACTTCGTTTTATTCTAAATGTGGATAAGAATGCACGTCGAAATCTAGCCGACATTAAACTATACAGGATAGGATTCACTGTTGCACTCATGTAATAAAGAAAACCTGAAAGAATAAATAAAACGAGAAAGAGACTAACGAGGAACTTTTCAGTCTGTTAACTTGGTAACTTAATTAAGTAATAAAACCTATCGTTTATTTTAGATCTGCTTAGCACAATACATTCTCCTTCTCAAATAGACCATTACATCGTCTATTGTTGAATAACTAAAAGCTGGGAAGTAAAACACTCTATCTCCCACTCTGTTTTCAAAGCTTTAGCAATAGATGCTCACAAAATAATGCGGTGTTGTTTTAAGAACTTTGAAGATTTGTAGGGGGCTAAGCTGGCACTCAGCTGTTAAGTAAACATTCATATATATATATATATATATATATATATATATATATATATATATATATATCCTAAGTCATCATACATTCCTTTGATTTTGTAAATATCTAGTTAAATTTACAAGAAAGTTATGACCTGTTAGGATATTTCCAGTTTAGATCATTATCCATTCGTATAAACATACTTATCTTTTAAGAATCGTTCGTTTGTTGCTAATGCTAATGAAAACAGACTTCTGTTTCGGTTTAATGAGCTGTCTACAGTGGTAGACAATTTTGCTATTAATTTATGTACCTAAATTCTTTGCTATCAGTACATCAGTTACTTACACTGTAAATGTTTGTCTCAAAATACAAATATAACAGGAACTGTTCATCTGAACTATGCATTGTTTGAAATTACTGAACTTATCGCGAATATTCCATGCTTTTAAGGAAAGCAGTCATAAGAAATAATTCAATTACTTGACTTTAACTAGTGAATGGAGTCAGTCAATGTTTCAGCTGTCATCGAACACTGGTTATCTTATTATTATTATTATTAGTCCCTTGGGTTCCTAATGGAACAAAAGGCTTCAGTAGCACGTCTCCAGTGAACTCTGTTCTCTGAAAACTTTTCAACCTGGTACCACGACAGCCCACAAGCTCTCTCTCTCTCCTCCTCACACCATCTCCTCCATGTCACCCTCAACACCGACGCCCAACTCGTCGCTTCTCATCTGGGTTCCACTCGACGGCCTGGCCTGACGCATGATGTCATCAATCGACCATCTCAGTGTATGCCCAATACAATCCATCTCCAATTCCTTCTGCATATTTGTTGAGTGATAGATTCTTGGTTGGTTGGTTACCAGCCAGTTAGAGTTCCTTGTTGCTTACTCTTATTATTCTGGCAATCCATCTGATCTTCAGTATCGAGCCAGAGTAGGCGGCAGTTGTTGATGAATGTCCATAGTTTGTTAAAAATCCCTTTCGTAGCGCACCAAGTCTCTGAACCATACACAAGCACTGACGGTGATTGGAGCTTGTTGTTGTTATTGTTGGAGTTGTTGGTGGGGTATCAACATCACTTCTGTCTTCTCTAAATTCACTTGAAGTGCCGTCTTCGCTGACCTGCCTCACCTCTTCTGCCAACTTGTTAGTTTTCGCCTGTAGATCATCAAGTTTGTGTGACATCAGATACAAGTCATCATTGGCGAAATCCAAATCTTCTAGGTTCTTTTCCACAGTCCAGCTGGCGTATCCCCCTCTTCTCACAGCTCCCCACTGTGGTCTGCTGCATGATCCAGTCGACCACAATCAGGAATATCATAGGTGATAGTAGACAGCATTGTGTTACTCCTGTCTTCACTTCGAAAGCATCACTGAGCTTCCCATTGTGAATTACTTGGCATGTGGCGTCTGCATACACTTGCTGAATGAGTTTGATAAAGGTATGTGGTATTCCATAGTGTTGAAGCAACTACCAAATAACTTCTCGGTCGACGTGGTCGAAGGCCTTCTCAAAGTCGATGAAGTTGAGGTAGAGGGTTGACTGACATTCTATACTCTGCTCTGTGATGATGCGAAGCGTTGTAATTCGGTCTGCATATGATTTACACTTCCTGAATCCAGCCAGCATGCCTGTTCCGGTCGTAGTTTTGAATCCAGTGCATCCTTTAGTCTCTCCAGGATGATGTGGCTTAATATTTTGCTTGCTCTGGGTGGACAGGAGAGTGATTCCGCGCCAGTTCCTGCAAACACTGAGGTCACCCTTCTTCTGGAGTTTGACAAGGTGGCCCTCCTTCCAGTCAGTGGGTAGGTACTTTCCCTCCCTTCCACTCCTTCTGCAGTGGTGGTGTGAACATGTCCACTGTTGTCCATGCATCTGTTTTCAGTGCTTCTGGAGGGATCCCATCTGGTCCTGCTGCTTTGCCATATTTCAGTAGGTTTATGGCGTTCAGGACTTCCATTTTTGTTGGAGGATTTATGTTCACTTGTAGTTGTGTGGCTGGGCTGTAGGTGGTATTTCTGGACGAAGTGCAGGTGGTGGTGGTGGTGGTGGTCGATTCAAGAGCTATTCGAAGTGGTCAGCTCATCGTTTCCTTTGTTTCTCCTCTTTGGTATTTAAATTTCCTTCATCACCTTCTAAAGGTTTTATCTGTGTTGATCTCTTCCATAACAGATAGTAACCTGATTATTTGATACAATGTTGTCAGGTCTGTCCTACCAGCCGACAGCCTGTTCTGCTTCACTTGCCAGTGTTTCATAGAAGTGTCTTTTGTGCTTCCACGCACTCTTCTTTACTTCTTTGTCCAGTGTTTTATACATTGTGCTCAGTTCCTCCTGTCGTTGAGCATCCTTGCACTGGTTTATCTTCTGCTTCACCATCCTCCTCTCCCTCCTCTATCAGCTTCCATGTATCCGTCGAGATCCATTCCTTATATTCTTTCTTCTTCCTTCCTAATAAGGCTGTGCTGGTTTCTTTCCAGATCTCTTTCAAAGACTTCCAGTGTTCTTCCACACAGGTTTCTTCAGGGATTTTGCTCGATATCTCCCATTTTGTCTTAATGGCTGGCTGCTGTGAAGATTTCCTTTGTAGTTTTGTCCTCCAGTTTCCGAGTGTTGTACTTGAACTGCGGTCTATCACCAACTTCCTTGAAGGCTTTCAACTTGATTCGGAAGGTTCCTTGCATTAGATAGTGAGTGGTGTGAATCTACATCTGCTCCTCTTCTTGACCTTGTGTCAAGTAGACTGCATCTCCATTTTCTTGAGACTGAGATAAAGTCGATATGATTTTTAGTGTAGTGTGTCCATCTGGTGTCTGGTGAAATCCATGTCGCTTTGTGAATATCCTTGTGTTTGAACACTCTGCCTCTAATCATCAAATCACTGAATGCACAGAATTCTGCAAACAATTCTCCATTCTTGTTCATCACTTCACCGAGCGCTTCTCAACCCATGGTTAGTTCTCTACCTGTGTTGTCTGCTCCGAGTTTGGTATTCATGTCGCCCATTAGAATTTCGATATCGCCAACTGACGTCTTGTCCAGTGTTGATCGCAGTTGTCAGTAGAATTCCTCCTCCTTCTCTTCATCTGCATTATTTGTAGGTGCATAGCATTGGATGATTGTGACCTTCCTTCCTTTTGAGTTGAACCTTGCTCTCATGATCCTGATGCTGGAGGAGATTGGTCCCCACTGCATGAGAGAAAGAGAGAGTCTTCGATGCTGTTGGGGACATCATGATAGCCACTCCAAAACTCAGTGGGCTCGTGGTTGTCGTCTGGGTGACAACATCGGAGTAGATTATTGATTCTCCAGTTGACAGTTTGGAGCGTCCACTCCCATTCCATCTGCTTACACCTCGCAAATTCCAAGCACTTTAGTGTGATACCTCTTCATCTCGTTTGCATTCTGGACTGCCTTGCTGGGTTCAAACATGGTGTGGACATTTCATGTCCCCACTTTTACTTTCGCTTACATCGAGAGAGAGAAGACACATCGGCCAATTGGCTTCCCGAAGGCAGGCTTTCACCAACTGGCGTCATTTTGCCTCTCCGATTCCTGCGAGGAATAATTTTGTTTTCATTTTTTATATTTTGTTTGTGCTTTTGAGTTTGTTTAGCGGTTAGATTTGTTTTAGGGGGTTAGGGTTGCTAGCCCTATACCCAACCTTCTTTGTTTACCCGGGCTTAGGACCGGCTGGTAACTAGTTAGAATTACCGATAAAACTACCGTTACTTAGTAATTGTAAGCCCCTTTACTTTCATATTAGACTAGTCTGTTTGACATAAGACAGTGATATGGTAGTATTTAAATAGTGAATAAATTATCTTATTATTTGTTATCGTTATTGTTAACATTATTCAAGTGTAATGGTTATTTTGCTTAAAGATATTGTACAGGGAATGAATTTTTGAAAACTTATGCTCTGAGAATTCCATACCATACCACACGTAATGCATGGAATAAAGGAATTATAATAACTATAATAATTATTATTACTGCGATACCACTACATGGTTAACCAAACCGATTATTCTATTATAAAATAACCTTCTACTACAGTGCTTAAATTCTATATATTCATTGATGCTACTTCAAGCAGTTTAAACTCTTATTTTCCTTATGTCAGCTAAAGACAGTCACAGAACCATCAAAAATTAGATCTTAAAATTTATGAAAATGAAGGTGATACAATATTTTACAGCAAAAGAGTAAAAAGTATGTTTTCTTAATATCTTACCGGACATATAGAAAAGAAAGTCAATGAAAAACCAAGTCATTTGTACATTCGCAGAAGTAAGAATACGTTGAAGGTGGAATGGCGCCCAACAGATGAAAAATGCAACCACTATAGCCACTGAAAACAATGATCAGAAAGTTTGACTGTTAAAACATCATTTATGGAATAAGAGTGGCAGCCTAAAGCGAATAAGTTTACTCTAATCTTCTGTATTTGATAAGAGTTGCTTCAGAATTGATGCATCCAACAAAGGAATCTACTGCAAAATAATATGGCAATTTAAAATTTGTTGGCTTGAAGATAAACTGACAGTGAATAGCAGGTTTAGTCGGTTGGTTTGTGGAAAAACGTGTCTAATGCATTCTGTATCATTTTGAAATAGTGGGGAATATATCTAGCTGAAGTGGATGATCTTGGTTACATTGTATTCTCTGAGCAGGGTTGTTTAATCGTGAAGCTTTTATCGTCTTTCTGGATGACATCATCAGTACTAACTTCAGTATGAAGTTAGTGCTGATGAAAATATACATTTCACTCTTTTGCTTCACGATTAAACAACCCAGTATTCTGTTTCAGTTAGGTATGATCATAGCTATGAAAGTTATCACTTTCCCATAGCTAACGACGATCCTCTACACGTGTGATTCAGTGCAATTTAATATCAGAGTTCAAGGTCAGTCACTAATCTCTTCCTTCCCCTACATATAGACAATAATGAAGGTCATTAAAGGCTGTCTTAGATTTATTGATGAAGTCTTTAATGGCGATAAAACGTTTAAAAGTAAATATAGAAGTTCAGAGAACACTAAACTATCATCAATGAGCTACAAACCTATCCCATCATTTCAAAAACTTGGGTTTCAAAGTTTATTACTTTAATATAGTAAATTGAGATGAAACGGTTTAGCAAATCGGAGTTTCTGATATTTTTTTGTTACATTTTTCTACGTTAGACTGTGGATTTCTAACTGATTTTCAAAATTTGTAGGCGTAAAGCTCTTCTAACTTTTCACAGCTTCTTTTATTTATTGTTATTTGGTGAAAACAGCATATGTATATTCAACCTTTGTAAGCAAATATACTAACGGTTGGATGTGAGTTACAGTTAATTTCATGAAAGAGGTTTAATAATATAGTTATTTAGCTCTCAAAATATGATAACTGATCTCCTTTCTAAACTGTTTCATGTAGTCAATCACTCGCAAAGTTTTACTATAAATTTGTTAGTGTTTCAGTCACGTAATCAATCCTCTGGACTGTGTTTGATTCCCTAAACTAGTTGGATAATTTCTTTTAGAATAATAGAACTGTTTTGCTTTCAGTTATGGATAAAACAGACCAAATGATAGCTAAAACCATATTTAATATGTAATGATGTCTTTACCAGTTGTGATTCATCTTATTCAGGTATTTCCAACATATTGACATTTTTCTTGTAGTGAAGTGGTGAGGATTCTACTTCAATTTCACCAAGGCATTTTACGTTGGAAATGAAAGGGTTTTATATTAGTTACAGTGTTACATGAAACATATGCTAGTCGAAATTTGAGGATATCACTTTGGTGAACAGTGTCAAGATGGGACTTGGTACAACTTTTTACCAGTCCAAGTAGCGACATTTCATATCAACATATCAGGAAGAGAATGCATCAAAATTAAAGATGAAGAAATATAGAAGTAAGGAGTCAAATGTTATCTAAAGAGAGCGAGGGGGAATGAGAGAATTCTGAAATTCACTTTGATGATTAAGATGAAGATACTGTATGGATACATTCATGTCAATGACATAGATTGCGAATCATATCACCTAGAGTCTCCAACCACTGGTTCCTGTTGTCATGAGGGTCTCAAACTGGAAGTCAACTTTTCCCTACATGCTTCTAACCAACAGTCAGAGGCCACATGGAATGATGCAATAATTTAATTTTATCACCTTTAACCTTTATCTGGCCAAAACCCTCTTCAGCAAAGATTGTGCTTTGAAGGAGACTGTGACTAGGCATGAATAACAAATGTCCCATATATCTGAGGCGATAAAGTTTCACAACGCCACTAAAACTCTACACCAGGCTTCTGCATTACTGATCCAGCGGGACCGTGACATACGGCTTACGCTACGAAATTAATGTTAGTGGCCTTATCATAGAATAGAAGAAGGATTTGAAAACAACAATGTGGGGAGTTTACACAGAACCATGGGAACTTTAGCGTTGATGGAGTTGTGACTTTGACTGGGTTCTCTGCCTACTCAAAAAGTGGAAAGGTACTTCTTCTTGAGGTATATGAAAAATAAGCTGGTAATAGACAGGATTGTTGGCAGAACACAACTGGATATCTGTCTAAGGTTGATCGTGCACAGCTATATTGCAAGTTTGAGATTTGAGTTTGTTTCTTTTGAATCCAACTTTAAACTCATAACAACGGCACGGAAAGATCATAGGGGAGGTAGGAATGCGCTAGTTTTGGAGCCAGCGTTTTTTAATCCCACTGTCCAGCAGAGTGGGCGGCAACGGCATGGTAACACTGGTCAGCCATGAGAAATACCTGACTGCTACCACACCACTGTCCACCTAACAGTATGGTTTCGCCATTGGACTCCATCACAATGTCATATATTTATGTACAACGGTTACTGCTTTTTGTCGTACAACTGTGCAACTGACGTCTTTTGTACGGCAGGTTTTCATGCTAATAAATGTTCTACCAGGATAACTCTGTCTTCGTGGTGTGCAAGCTCGACCACCGCGTCAGTGTAGCAGCTATCCGTTGGAATGGATATTGCAGCTGAGACATTTATTGATCATATATAAAACAAATTCATGCATTGAGGTAGTATTCATCTTGGATTGAGATCACTTGGAGAACCGTTGAGAACAATGGAACAGTGGACAGCTGTTTCATCCTTGCATAGGACTCCTCAGCAGTGCTCAACCACGACTAGGATATGGGTCGAACTCAGAACCTTCAGGTTTCACGACGAACGCCTTCATCAGGGACTGGCCCAGTAACTAGATGATTAGGGTGTTCGCGGTGAGATGTGAAGGTCCTGAGTTTGACTCCTACTCTAGCCATGGGTGCGCACTGCTGAGGAGTCTCATAGCAGGACGAAACAGCTATCTAATACCCCCTTGTTGCAAAATGTTCTCCAACTGATGTCAGCCCGTGATGAATGCTACTTTAAAATGTAATTCCTATTAACTTCAAAATAAATTTTTATATAGTCTACTTTTAAGAGGTATTTTTTAATCAATACATATATGCTTATATGCTGTCATGTATATAAATAAACTTTATGGTTGTTTGATAATGTGTTCAAATATGCTCTACTTTGTTTAGTACTACAATGTTAAAGTTTATGCAAATTCGGAATCCATAGTAATTTTCGGAATTAAGGATAAACGAACAAAGCGGTTAAGTGAGATTGCTTATAAATAAATGATCTCTCGGTTTTTCCCTTCTTACTGTCAGTAAAATAAAACTTTCCACAGTAATCCTATTTACAAGAAATTATTTTTAAAACTTTGGAACATTTAAAAGAAAATAATGCTCTACATTCTCTTGAACTTACCAAGCATTCTTACAATACCTCTTCGTCCATTTCCAGAAGATTGAATTCCTAAATTACTACGAGATGCTTGATTATTCCCAAATCTAAATTTATTTGATACACGAAGACTTAGTTTGAACGACTCAACTTGATAGCAATTAGCCCATATAAAACGGACATGATAATCATGGGTGTAAAAAAGAACAGAAAAGTCCATAGTTGAAGAACTACTGGAATACTCATGTATGCAGCCCATTCTGAATCCTGAGACAAAAGTAATAATAAATAGCTATTACAACTGTTTTAGACAAGACAATTTTTAAGAATTATGCAAATTGCAATAACTTACAGTCTTACCTGCGGTGAATAAAAGTACATAAAATATGGATATGCAAAAAGAAGTCTTGACTTTATACGTAAAGAAAACGGGGGGGGGGCAGTTCGTGAATTCTGATAATTAACCTTAAAAACACCTCACGTATAGTGGACCACACCACCTCTACAAAACGTAATGTAGGCTTATTTGATGTTGATTGATACTTGTAATCTCCCATTGCTATACTTCATCCAGCTGCTCGACCTCTGTTGGTAGATAAACTCCCAGTCGAATGCTTCAATACTGCAGGATATTCATTATGTTGTAGTCTATCTGGTGGCTAGCAGTGGAATCCAGGAAGCACATTTCGTCTTATTTGGGACTCATCGGCTGGATGTATTTGCATTCCAGTGAGCTATGTTGTTCCCATTGAGACTCAAGTTTAGTGGCGATCGCTTCAAACACCAAGGCATTATCCGCTGATCCACTGGGACTGAACGCACATCCTGGAAGCCACTTATAGCCATCAGGTAGACTGAAGTTGGTTCAGTTGAGTTTCGTATAAGTGAAAAATTTGAGGCCGTATTCAACAAAGCGTCACGGACTTTTCAAAGACATCCATATACCTCCTTTTCAAACAGAAAAATAAGTAGTGTGGTGAGTTTTAGAGAATGCATTAATTACTTCTTTGTAAACTTCAAGGAAAGTGATTGCAAATAGTGTATAATATCTGATAGGTGTCCAGTGACCATAACACTGAAGTTGTTTGATCCCATAGTGTCATATTTTCTTCGAGAATGTACCTTATCAATTTCCCTTTGAAAAGCGACGTCTATGGATCTTTGAGTCAACCAGTAAACAAGTTATTCTGTAAAAGGAACCGGCTTACCTGGAAGAAGTCTTTTTTAAGCTTTTTCTTAGCCTTCAGTATACTATATCATTCTGATTGTAATTTTTAAACTATGTTGTAACAAATTACCTCAATAGTTAACTGAGAACTTTTATCAGTGATCAATCCAGCTGAACAGTGCAGCACATAAACATGGTGAAATAGCAAGCTTTTTGGAAATCTCAGACATATCCCTGATAAATACAGTTATTTTCTGACTCTTTCAAAATTCTTAGTGAGTAAACAGGTCTCCATGTTAAATTATTTATTTGGTGTAGCATGCAGCAACACAATAATCATACGGCTTTCAAACCTTCTTAGTTCAGTGGTTCATTTGTTTATCATAATGGTGGTAAAATTTCCCAGATATATGGTGAGTCATTCCTGTTGATTCAATGAACAAAGACCCTGTGACCAATATCTCGTTCCACTTATATTTATTGGATTTTAGATTTGTTGGCTTTCTCCTCCCTGTAGTGTGATTAAGGGTCAGTGTATACATATTTCCATATATCAGCATCAGAAGACGAGCAGTCTCGTGAAAAGTCATTTATATCTTAATATATAAGTAAGTGATTTTTTTAATTTAGCCCTCTGATTATTCGCTTGTGTGGAAATATATGACTCCAAATTTAGCTTCAGTTGAATTAAACTTTCAACAGTTAATTAATTTTTAAAACGCCACGCTGTCTACTATTCTAATAAATATTTAGAAGTAGTATTCACTAGGACCGACATCAGCTGGGGAACCATTGAAAATCTGGGAGCACTGGACAGATGTTTCCTTCTAGTACGGAACTCCACAGCAGTATCTGAATGTTCTGAGTTCGATCCCTAGCCGGGTCGTTCATAGGATTCTTTACTCTCGAACTAACCCAAGTGGCATGTAATTACTAAAAGGAGACTAGGCGACTTAAATTTACCCAACTCTCAGAAGGTTCATTCAGCTATTATTTTCGTCTAGAAGAATGATAACTGAATTAACAGCTTCAACTGAAGTTGTACAACTTCACCATATACCACATTTTATGGTAGAGCATAATTATGATCTTTAAAGCCAGTCAAACATGCCAGTAATATCAATAAAAGGCAAATATATATCATTTGGTTCCACCCTGTTAGCCTTTTACAAATTATATAAAGCAATGAAAGTAACAATAGAACAGTGTTTGAACTATCAAGACACTAATAAAATAAATTGCATCAAAAATAAAGCATCATTTTTCAAAAAGTAAGTCATTGTAAGAGTTCAAACGATGCATGAGAAACTGTGAATTATCACATATATATTCCAGTTATGTTTATGCACTAAGATCCGTCTCATAATGAATTATTTTCTGATTTTTCTCACAGCGAGAAAAGGTGTTAATGTATTTACTTAGATCTCATACCTTTAATTGACAAATACGGAATAAACACTCACAGATGTAGCTTGATTTCAATATGTGGAACTTCATGGAACAACAATATCTTGGCATATATCATCAGGATATGCATATGTATGCGTCTCATGTAAACTAGGTGTTTTTAGACAAGGTACTTGCCTTATGTAGTCTGTTTCTAACTTGCATATTCAGTCTATGTCTTATAGATAAACATATACTGATTTACGTGTTCTTATTGCTGTATATTAGTAGTTGACTGCAGTAAATCCATTGATGTTTGACATTACAGATGGTTTCTGATAGTTCTGTTTTACTTCTTGGTTCCAGCTGACTGAATCAAAAGGGTTTACCTATTTCTGAAATTTATTTTTTTAGTTTTGTATCCCTATTGTATACAAAAAATATTATGAAAGTTATACGGAGATAAAGATATTTAGCATTGCATTATGCGCAGCAGATCTAAATAAGATTGAAAATAAGGTTCATTGGTTCTAGCCTTTCCTCATTGTGCTGATAATACTTGATTTTATTCCCAACATTAAGCAGAATTTACACCACTAACCAATTCGAAAGGTAAGTTTATTTTAAAGGAAATTGAAATTCCGTAGCTATGACTTAATAGCACTCTGTGGATGATTGCATTGAGTTTGAAGCCTTGGGTGCTGGGTCTAAAGTGAGTCATATTCGGATCTGATTTAACCCTATATCTTGTAAACCAATGAGATGTATCTGATTTCCTTTAATCGTAAAAGTGAAATATCGCGTATTATTTTCCTACTCCTCCTGACCTGAATTGAGTTACTCAAATTAATATCTTAGTTTAAAAGTGATCTTACCGTCCCAAGAGTCATTAGGACTTTCGATTCACAACACTTCATACATTTATTTTGACTCTAAAGAACGTACAAATGTTTGACCTTATGAGAGTCGATTGTTAGCCCTTTTTTTAACAATAAAATAATATGGTTACTTATTTATTAAAGTTGGAGTTTTTAATTAAGTTAATGGCTTTGTTTCTGATTTCTTTAACTCATCCACTTTTCTTTAGTTTCAGCACAAATCAACTGCTCAGATTGACCGTTTACATATTTTATTTTCTTGATAAAACATTCAAATTGTAGACATTTTCGTCAACTAATTTAGACTCATTTCAAAATAAGAAGTTATGTTTAATTACTTCAAGTTTCCTATAAATTTTCTAATCAACTAAATTGAACTGGAACTTTTCTATCGATACGCTTCATTACTTAATTTATGCATAAAATAATCAAGTTGGAAAACTAAAGTGCTTGTTATACTCACAATCTAAATTGGATAGCGCCTACAAGACTTAAAGTACGAAAAAGTACTCAATTGTATGGTAAAAAAACTTAAATGTGCAAAATCAGAATGTAGAGTTGCTGTGAAATTCTTGACTGAGGCAAGAATATGCAGATAGGCTATAAGAAACGTAATGAAACCAAATAAACAATCAAAATTTGCTTGCCAATCTAATTAAAAATCAATTTGATCCTTTTATAAACGAATTACCAGTAATTGTATTTGGAATGGGTAAACTTGATAAACAGAACTGTTCACGCATTCTCATCAATGTTTCATTAACTGTTAATAAGCAATAAAATTTGTATACATGTATCATGTAAAATGAGTAGGAGATACACTGCTAGGGAATATGAGTAGAGAATCTCTTTCTATATAACAGCTTTCATAAAATAATATAATAATTAGTGAAAATGTTACAAGAATAGTAAATTGGTAATACCTTCAGTTTGCAAATTATTTCCTCTTTTTAAACTAATTATGCATATGATGCTTGATGACACTCAGTTTGCATTAGTAAGCAACAAAGGTAGTCAGATAACTTTCTTCCTACAAAATCACTTTAATAAACAACTAGCTATGAAGTAAATAAGTGTGTTATCGATCATCAAGAATGGATAGTTTTGCGAAATTATCTTCATAAAAATCTTCATTTCATGCCAAATTATATTTTGAGAATGCTGATAAATGTAGATCTAGTTAATAAGAGAAGGTGACACTGTTCAATTATCCTCAGTACTAAGATGAAACTACAAGTGCTTTTCTTTCACATCTTTACAGAATTCCCTGGAAGTTTCTCAAGGCTTAACAACTGCTCAGGTCTCTGATGATTTTAACATCAATTCTTTAAAAAAGAATAGTAAAGCGACATATTTTTGACTAACATAAATCTCATTCTTGAACTAACCAAAAATATTCATTTCGCTTATTTCAGCCTCAATTGTGATGCCTGAATTGTAACTGTCATCATTTTTTATAAATAACTTCATATAACGTTAGGAAAATAATAATCTTTTCCACATCGTATCCATAAATGCAAGAACAAGATGCAATCCGTTCTAGCCACAAAATAAAAAAGATGGATTATGTCAGTTGGTATAGCTTTACAAAAATACTAAACAAAACTTCATTGGACTGTTTCTTGAGTCTAGTAGATTGATTGAAGTTCTTCCACTTTGTTCACTGGTTAAGAAAGAAGTAACAAATATGTATTGTGAAATGCAACTTTTAGTTTTTGGATTTTCTACAAACATTTTGAATGACACATCACCCCATCATATTATTGCATGTAAAGCTATGAATGAAACTCTTAGTAGCTTTCTGACCTCTACGGAAGAAGAACCCTTCCATCTTCACTTCTTTTAAAAACATTTATTTCTTAGGTAGTCTTTCTCACGATTACCGCACTTCAGTTTCCGTATTTTGTTTTACTAATAAAAGTGAATTGTGCATCCTGAAGAATTTCAGTATTCGCATGATGTAACTTACTCTTTATTATGTTTATCTTGTAGATCACTCTTTTAATGTGTTTTCTGACATCTCATCTGATTTCTTCTGAGGTATGTAACCTACTTTTCAGGAACCTTTGTGTAACCCGTGATCTTGTAGTACTATTTCAGTCTCAATCAAAAATAACAGGATAAATACTCACTTCTATGGTTAAGTCATATCCACGATTCCCTTTACTTTTTTGTCCGTAATCATAGTGTCTGCTGTTCCTAAACTACTGAAGACTATCGGTTTCTTTACACTGATGTGAAGTAATGAACTAGATAATGCATATTTATTCATGAGAACTTACTGAAGATAATCATATTTTGATTTCCTTTTGCTTGTTACCAATTAAGAAAGATAGTTTTTTTTTCAGTTTTAGTTCTGTTTCGAATTTAAATTTGATGATTCGGTATCTAGAAGCTAAATGCAACTAACAATGTAAAATTCTATTCCACTCTTTAATATGAATGGATCATCCGCGATGTGTGTTAGGAAGGTATAGCATTTCAGTTCTATCGATACTTAGAATAGCTGAGTGAAATTTGAGACTTCTCAAATTATTTATATTTCATCCATCTTGTATAATGAATTCTTGTCGTCTGTGAAGCGTGAAACGGAAATCTTAGTGTGTTATTAATCTCAAGAAATTATCATTCAAAAACACTCATATGTTAACTTCTTTGCAAATGTATCATGTTGGTATTGAATTTATGCTTCATTTACTGACGGGCAAATCATATTTCACATCCGACATCTATTTGTAATTGTAATTCTATCCGTTTATTATGAGATCTATCTTAGCTTTCCAGTCACTGTTACATTTCTTTATGCAGACCAGTGATGATAACTGCAAGTCAATAAAGTTTCCTCTTTGTAATGAATGCATTTTACACTGATCTTAGTGACTAACAGAGAAATCTAAGAGGCGCGTTTTGTCCTATTTATGACTTGTAAGCTGGACGTACTTGCACCCTAGTGCGAGGTGCTGTTGTTTCCACCAAGACTCGAAGCTAGTACCCTTCGCTTCAAATGTCACAGCGTTATCCATTAGGCCACTAAGGCACGATACATTTTATTTGACGCATACCATTTAAAAAGCCATGTTAGTATGCATATATATACACATATATATATCATAATCTAGTCAACTGTCATCGTTAACAAATTATCGAGTATAAACATCTTAAGTCAGATACCCATAAACGGTTTCTTTTTGCATATTGCGGGAAAACTATCATTCTGTCATTGTAAAATTTGTTTCATTTGATCTTCACTTTCTTACTTTGTACCACTATGAAATGACTTGCAATTCTTTTACCAAATTTACTGCTTTACGATACCATTCAAGTAAGTGAAGTTCATCTAAGTTACTTCATACCGTTTTACGGTGGACTGCATGTGCAACACAGAAAATGTTTACAGTGAAAATTTTTATTGCTGGACATTAGTGTTATGTGACAGACTTATTAAAAAGCTTTCTTACTTATACATTTATCTTTACAATATATAATTCATTTTATTCTTATCACTTACCTCAAATAAAAGCCTTTATTTGAGAATATTTTTAGTCTCATAATATGTAAGTGGAGTGAATTTCAGTTATTAAATATATGCCTTGAAAAGATATAGACAACGAAGCATTCTCTTGATTGTAGACAAAATGCCATTTGATACTGGTTGACGATTGAAGATGAGATGAGAATTTGGTCTGTAACTGGGTTTGAACCAGCGACTACCTGGTTTGCGGCCCGATGCTCTAACAACTGAGCTACGAGGCCCGACTACTGACCAGAATTTTACCTGTTGTACTTCATGCCCAATTAAGCAACTGTTTTTGACCACCATCTTTTAATAGTAATATTCATGTCGAATTTTTGACATACAACCACTATTTTCATGCAGCTAAAATGCCTTATATGACTGAGATCTTATGCAATTCATGTCCCTACATATACAGCTTTTTTCCCAAATACGTTTTAATTGGTAATCTTTACGAGTGGAAGATGAGCTGATGTCACTGTCTAGGGAGTCTGATGATAAATCAACTTATTCTTGCCTCTTATTTATCAATTCTTCATTCTTCACTTTTTAGAACGGTTTCTCAGTATCTCTTACGAATTTGAACAGTTGTGTCATACATAATTTAAGGTTTATAAGTGGAAAAACTTCACTGAGCTCAACAAAGTCTAAACAGTTAACTTCAGTTACGTTCAGAAAACATGTGTACGGTTTCTTTGAAAATTTAAAATCAGCCAAAGTATAAAATCTACCAGTATTTCGCTAGTCGAATTTTGAATATTCCCAAAACATGAAAACATGATAGTCACTTATTATTTTTCTTTCAGTTAACTTGAATTGTAATATTCCAACTTAATATTTATCTTTTCCAAAGCCGTGTCCATTTCATGAAACTGCTGCAAATTGAGTATAACTGCAGAAATCTGATCATTTTAAATGACTTACTTTTTTGGTTATTTGAAAAGTAAAACCAATAAATAACACTTAATAAATGGCTTAGATGATAAAAATGAAAAAATGATTTTCGACTGAATATGAAAGGTTCAGAACTCACATTAGATGGTGCACAAACTGATGAATCGGTCAAGGCTTCTCCAGGTGCCCACAGTTCATCATCTTCTAGGCAATTAATTGCCTGATCAGACAGGATATTTGGGTTACATTTCTGACAACTGCATGTGGTGTTTATGAATTCATCGACTGTAGGAAGGGAGACAGCATAAAATACTTTTGACAACCCAGCAATTACTGTAGCACAGCAACCTGCTAGAATCCAGACACATAAAATTAGTATGAAACATGATTTAAGTGCATTAATCTGAACAGCATACGACGTGTAACTGCGTTTATAATGTGACCGATCACTGGGACCATGTCCATATGTACTTCTTTTGCCTTTTGAATTAGGTGTTTTTGGTATTTTTTCACTGCTTAAATAAGTATTATTGCTGACATTTCGCATGTAGGAAGTGCGGTTATATGAGTGTCCAGCATCGAATTGAGAAAACCGTAAAACTTTTCTAAATGGATGACATATTGATAAATATCTTTCTGCACTGAATATTGTTAATATAAGTATGCTGACTAATGGACATAGTTCGGTTAAGAATATTCTAAAACGACAAAAAAATGTTCCCATTCTCCATGGATACGATTCATTCACAGCAGTTTGGAGTTCAAAAGGCAGACCTGTTTAGAGATCAAAAAAGTTAAAGACAGTAGGGACTAAAATCTTTTGAATTACATATATTACAAAAAAACGATTTCCCAAATGAAAATTACCCTTACGACGACATTTTGTGAGGATAAAGTTATCGCTGTATTAATGAGAACTACATGATTCATATTGTGACATTTTATGTTAGATTTTTAAATGTCTGCCTAATACCACTCCTGAAGTAACACAGGTTACCGACATCCTAAGAATAACTTTTTTAAAATAAGGTTATCAATTACAATTTAGTCTTCTCATTGGCTAGCAGACAAATGCAGATCGCGCGTTTCTTCCCTTTTAGGACTCGTCAGTTGGATGTGTCTGCACCCCAGGTGGTTGTTTTGTTCTTATTGGGACTCGAATCCAGTGCTCATTGCTTCAAACACCAAAGCTCTATCTCCTAGGCCACTGATGTATGACAGCCACCACCTGTGCAACGGGTATCAGTTATTAACTCAATAACATCATATGAAAAATAGCGAATCAAGCAAGACACTGGACTTCGTTTTTGTTTTCATCCAATTATCTGTAAGGCACACGGAGAACTGACTGAGGACATTCGTCTGGTTCATCTAGTGGACATGATATCGAAAGGAAAACTATCGATAATCAAGGACTAATATGAAATCACGTAATATTGCACTTGGGAGAATCCAATATTATTTTTAATGCTGTAGTCTGAGAACGAGCAAAAACGTTTTCACTGCTTTTAGAAGTACATTTTTTGAACCAGATTATGTACGCTAAACATATTCATATAAAAGTCATGTTGAATAGAACTAAATAGTGAAACATTACATCCAGCAGCCAAACAAAACTTGGTTATTACTTATTTTCATAGAAATACAGGTTTTCCAGTTTTCATTTCACACTGATAGTCAATTATCAAACTTTATTGAATTTAATGTGATAGACTAAAGTGCAACTACCATGCTAAATACAAAGTGGTGCAGTCCTATGGCGTGAATGGAATGAAGCGTTTTTAGTTATTCAGTCACCTAAATCATTCTAAGGTCACTAAAAATTATAGTCATTCTTCGGTGATTAAATAAAGCATGAATGCTTCCAAGCACTACTTCCTAAAATTCTTCAATAATACAGCTTTTACATAACTTACTCCCAATACAACTGTTACACATCTGAAAAGCCAAACAAATGCATATCTAATGAGCATATCAGTAACATAATAAACAGATTAAAATGGTGTCCTAAATCTGATAGCAAGTTTTAATTACATCTCGTCAATATTAAATAGTCTTTAGACAGTCAGAGAACGATGTTAGTTGCTTAACTACGAAAACCAATTTATCTCATATGAAAAAACTTTTACTTCTAAGTTTCTAAAAGATGAACGTTTTTATTATACAGTTAACATTTTCTACTCTTATTCCTCCTGATTTCATTGACAGAATATACAAATGGCATTTAAACAATATATAGTAGATAATTTGGTCTAGATTCATATTACATCAGTCTGTTTGACATAGGACATAGTGATGACTAGATGAAACTACCTGCCGGTTTTAATCCTCATATTCACATCAAGATAATCACACAACTTCCTGATTTTTAATGATCCTACTGTTATTTCCTTTTTCGAGTGTATTGGCTGCAGCGTTTTTTATGTATCTAGAAAGAGTACCAATGGTATCACCAGACTTTCTGATTGTGGGAAACATTTTTATGGGCAGTTGGAAATGTAGAATTTTGGAATATTTAATCCAACCACGAAATTATGATGGAGCTATGCAGATCAAAGACTTACCACCTTGAAATCTTAGCATATCCATGGCTTTTTTCACACAGAAAAATAATTCTAAACTGATAGATCCTATCAATCAATTTAGAGGAGAATTAATCCATTGCAATGCATCTGATTACAACGACAACATAACATAAAGGAATGAAGTAACAGTGTAAAAGAATAATGTAGCTAGGTGGAAAGAGAGGTTAATCATTGAGTCTGTGTTCTTCGATTCAGTGCCCACCATATACAATTAGGAGTGACTCAACACCCTGCATTCAGTGAAATCCAAGAATGAAAAAGTAGTAGAGTCATGAAAAATGGAAACAGGATGTTATGTGATTACTTTGATATATAAAGATATTTCAATAAGGCAACTTGTTCTTTAAGAATTACGAAAATGGTATATCTTAAATACTGAACACTATCATGCTTGCAATAACCCGAGAATAAACAGTGTTTTTCAAGACTTTCATAGGGATCACTACAGAAGCCTGACCGTTATTATATTTTTGAGATTGTAACTTTTTTCATCCACTTATTGTTACTGACAATATTTCCGTGATTTTCTTGAAAGTCTAGTAAATATTTTATCAGGATTTTGCAAGTAAAATAGATGTTCCAGTTAAATAGATATACAAATGTTTATACATGTTGATTCTCATTAATTTCCTAGCGTGTTTCAAAAAGTTATATTGGTTAAATGTCATTCTGCTTAATATTGGTGAATTTTAAACTAAAATCACTTAATAAATCTCCGCAAATCTCCAGATGGAACTAATGTAGCACTCATAGGTGACTACATAAGAGGGGTAATTCCAAAATTTCCAATGGGAAGTCATGACCAATGGAGTCAACCAAGTTGAACATGAGGACAGTTACTTAACGACGATGTTGGATGTATGTCGTGCTGTATCACGAACTGACAAAAATAGGAAATATAAACCACTGGATTCCGACCTAATGGCTAGATCAATGGTAACGTGCTGAACACGAAAACTTGAAGGTCCTGGGCTCGACTCCAGGCAAAGCCATGAGTGGGCATTGTTGAGGAGCCCCATACTGGGACGAAAAAGCCCTCCAGTGCTCCCAAGTTTCGAATGATCCTCTAAAGGATGTCAGTACCTGATGAGTTCCAACTTAAAACCAATTAGTAAATCTCCACAAACCTCCAGATAGAACTGAATGATGAAGATTGCTTGTCACTTGAAATAAATTAGGACCATGGGCCAGGATTATTTCAATTGGTAGTTGATCCACTATCAAAGTAAACCGTCATGCACAAGTAGCGCTTATAAAATTTTCACTTGGTGGTTTGCTGAAACCTTGAACTACTAAACATTTTCCATCCAATATATTTCATCAAATTCTACACAATCAGTTTATTTTAACCTTTTAAATATCTTCCTAAATTAGCCTGTACTGTCGCATATTTTAAAAATATTTTCAAACTGTCGTTTCTCAAGCTAAAACAAAACAAAGAAACAACGTTACATCGAATGGGAATGAACATATAAATGCTCAAAAATACAGCACAGTACTATTCCTAAGATGCCTATATTGAATTGTAGATTTCCGTACTGCCTGATTGAGCTACCATCACCATAACTAAACTCTATTTTGTATTTATTCCCAAGTCCAGGGATTATGGAATTACAGATATGTGCTTCGTCATATTCGTGGTATTCCTTAGTAGGTCATGCAGTTTACAGTAGGTAAGAAATTGTAAGAATAGAATTTTAATAAACTGAAGAACACTAAAAGAATCAGTCCGATACTACAGGAGTATCGTCAATCTGAATAAGAAAATATCATTTATCATACACAGTTTTTTCCTGTTATTACGCATAAACTAGAAGATATCCTCAACAAATCTGCATAAGCATCTAAGACGAAACATAATATTTCAAATTAAGAATTTTAAAAGTTTAAAAAATTTCATTCACGCCGAAAAATATTCGTATTTTTGATAGTGTCTCTTTTATCCCCCACATGTTTTAATGCTTTCGAAAATAAAGTTTATTGACTTTGAGTTGTATTTAGAGTGTTTATTTCCCTTAAATGTCACCAACGAAAAGCGAAACAGCTAGGTTATTTATTAATGATGGACAGTGACTAGTAGTCGAATCTAGGATCTGCGTTTTGTCCTATTTGGGGCTCATCAGCTGGATATACCTGCCTACCAGTGAGCATTGCTGTTCCCACTAAGACTCGAAATAGGGACCGGTTGCTTCAAATGCCAGAGCGTTTTCCACATGACCACAGTGTCACGATAACCACTTCTTCTGTTAAAAGTGTAGTTTTATTGTTGTTTGTATGTATTATCCGGTCGTTGAGTGGACCGAATTGATCGATAAGCGCGAGCAATAAAACTACACCTGCAACACAAGAAGTGGCTGTATTGACTCTGTGGTCATTTTGATAACAATCTGGTGTTTGAAGAGACTGGTCCTGACTTCGAGTCCTAGTGGGAACAACATCGCTCACTGGTAGGCAGGTATATCCAGCTGACGAGTCTCAACCAGAACGAAATGCGCATTCTGGACTTGACTGCTAGCCACTGTTCATCGTTAATATATAACTCAAACACAGTCAATATAGAGGCAAAATCGCCGGCGTCCATATGCCAGTGGAGAAAGATCAATTCGGTCCAATCAACGACGTGATAATACATGCGACAACAACAAGTAGGTTATTTTCTGTGGTGACTAAGTATCGTTCAATATATAGTCAGACAACATTTCGAAAGAGTCAAGTCAGTTTCAAGGACCGCTCAAATCAATTGGGAGAATTGATTGAAGACGATTCAGCAAAGAAAATTTTCTTTTCGACGAATCATTTTCAAAAGCTGTACATCGTAATCGTAATTACACAAAATAAATATCCATCACAAACTAATGGACTAATATATAGTCACGGAAAAAGGTCAGTAAAGTTAAAAGGGAATATCTGCTGGAAGGTCAAATCTAGATCATCGACAACTGCTTAGACGATCAGAGTAAACAAACAAAGAAATAGATAAACTGTCTTAAGGAGATTACAACCAAGACAGAGATTGAATATATCTTTTTTAAAAATAAAGATCAGTCCTGTAAAGTTGAATTGTCAAAGCCTCTGCTGTGTTGAGGTGCAGAAGTACCCTACCTTCTGAATGTTTGACTTCACTTTACAAATGAATTTGAAATAAGGCTCTCATGGAGCACAGTGACCAGACATAACCAAATACTGAAGAATCAAGCTACCGACGGTTCTACATTGTTCTTTAGACGGCCATGCAAAATAGTGTTTGGAAATATGTTTGTATGGAACACAGATTGTGCGGCCTACAAAATCAGCTACATAAAAGCAGCTGAATCGGCAAACACACATAGACATGATCCAAAGCACTAGTTTATCACTTACACCCCCTCAAGACAGTGATTGACTAGAGAAAGGAATGCAAAGCTGAAGAGGAAAGAAGATCTTCTTCAGTGCTTTCTGTGGTGGATTCTCCAGTATTTTAGCCAGTTTATCTCTCTTAAATACAATATTCATAAACAGTGTTTTTTGGAACCGTAGAGGTTTTTTCTTTAGAAATTCTAGGCCTCTTGGATCCATTCAATGGATCTTGAAGTATAATCATTCTCCATTAACACTCTTCAGAGTACTCCCAGCTACTCATTTACTACATCACCTATACAAATCCCTCGAATTCATGTGTATAGTGAATGAATTGGATTTCTTTTGCTGACTAATAGAACCCAGCTTTAAAAAGTGAGTATAATGATGGATTAATATTTTGTTGTAACTATAATCAGGACGTACAACTTTTGAAAGTGATTCGTCGAATAGAAAATTTTCTTCGCTGAACTATCTTCGAATAACTTTTCATTACCTAATGTGTCTATTTCGATAAGTGTAGGAAATTTGAACGCGATTTAATGTCCCATAATTTTTGATTGTATTTCTCCCTTTTAGTATTATTAAGAAAAAACAAAGTTTGATATTTTGAACACCTACAGAAAGGTACAGCTCTCTTTGTTACTCATTTTCTATAAAGTTCATGAATCTGACTAAAATAGTCACTTGTTATGTGCTAAATAAAAATGGTGTAAATAAGCGTTATCAAGCTTCCTTTTGAAGCTAAAATACCACACTTTTCAAGGATGAATAGGATGTAAATAGGTCACCATAAGCTAATTCGCAAAACATTCACTACAACAACCTTAAATGACTTACTTTTTGAATTATATATATATATATATATATATATATATATATATATATATATATATATATATATATATATATATATATATATATATATATATATATATATATATAGGAGTAGACTCTTGAACAACAAGCAAAGACTTAACCTTTGATGATCGCGCGGTTCCTCGAAAAAAGAAAGAAACTGCAAAAACGTTAAGGATTTACTGTCCAGTCAAATATGTACAAACATTAAAGGTTTATATACATATTTTGATGGCCTTTGGAAGTTCTACACTTTTTCAGAGAGCTGTTTAACAATTCTGAATCACACGCATGATCACATAGTTTTTCTCGAACGTTCGACAGTCTATGATTGGCTGTATTTTCCAGGCTTCTTTGAAGAATCTAGAAGAAATTGCCACACTCCATAACACCAGCCACTTTTGAAAAACAATACATAGGAGTGTTGCTTGGGATTCACCTGCAGCCTCTCTACGGATTTTGTGGACCAAGGCGTTCAACGCTGTGTTGGACAAACGGGATTTTGGCAATTCACGTTGTGGTTTGAAATTAATGAATCATTTTGTCATTTTTATGGATAGTCCAGCAACACATGTAGTAATAAGCTGAGTGGAGTATCACTTCTACCGTAGTTATAACGTTTTGTTCCTAATTAATTTACATGTCTCCTCTAGATTTCTGGACCAACTTTCACTTCGTAAAGGACTCTCCCATTTTTTCACTTACAGAACTTTACCCCAGTAGTTTTTGGCCATAACTTTGTCACCAGGTCGGATTTTTCTGCAATGTTGTGGCCGCTCGCTACTTTTTGACTTAGTTGTAGGTAGGATGGACGCAAAAACAGTTCTTATTCAGCAACCAAACATACCCATTGGAGGAGATTTGCTATTTAGTGTCTTGGGATTTGTAGCACTTAGGTGGCTTGCAAAGAATCTGTTAATGACAGTGCTCACTGATCCTTCTCCTTCCGCTTTCAATGAAGCACGTTCAAACATATTCACAAATCATTCTACTTGACCGTTTGATCGAGAATAATAAGGTGATGAGTAGTGGGGCGGTAAATATCGTTCTCATCCCATCCTCGTCTCCACTTTTATATATCTTTACCAGTGACTTGATATAGCCTGAATTGTTTATGCGGACGCTAGTACAATAACCTTCAAATTCCACCCTTAATAATCACTCAGTTTCTCTGTAAATAGGAAAGGCTGAATGATAACAGGTGTATTTACAACGTCAACGGTAACATCAAGTGTATATAAAATAGAAGTTATATATATTACAATAGCCTAAGCTACTTCCAAGCCTACTGGATTTAAATTCTATTGACTTTTCGTCTCTTCAACCAACATAATACTTACACTTTGGTTAATGTGTTTTTTCCCGAAATTTCGAAGCGAAACCATTGGCTGGAAAAGACATAAGGTATATGCAGGTTCTTGTGAAAATGATGTAAACTCAACTCTTCATAAAAATTTTTTCAAACATACGCCTACATAAACTGTGATTTGAAAGTCAAGAAAAAGTTTGTCTGGAGGATTATACAGCTGTTGAAGAGTATTTCTTTCTTTGAACTCGATTTTCTATAAGTTAATAGGTATACTTTTTACAATGATAAATATTTGTTTTTTCTAACAGAGTACTCCTGAGGCCGATGTGAGTCAATTTTTCACTATCATTTGATAAGCAATGTATTTCTTTACACTTATTGACAACCGCTGACTCACTTTATTTAGTTGCCTAGAAATGTGCTTACATCGACAGCGAAAATAATATTTTACCAGTGAGTTAGTTATCTAAACTATTGCAATAATAAAATGGAAATGTTGATGGTTAATGTGAAAAATATTTCTTGTAAATGTTGTCAAACAGACAGTTCAGTTGAATGCTTCCTACTGTTGACCAATCACTAACTTTGTCCTGCAAAAACGCATATACTGAAATCCCCAAGTTTGATTTTCTTTTGTGAGACCGTTACTTTTAATTCCAAGTTAATCTAACCGCAGCATTGTTCACACGGTGGTTCTTTCATACATGATCAATGGTGTGAAGACACTTGTGGTCAGAAATCTTATAAACTGTTTGTGTCTTCTACATACTACCGTATAGTAGGAAAGAGCAGACTGCAGCGCAGTAAACTCATCCTTTAATACTTAGTGGGATATCTGCCTGGGAGCCGAGTTGACATAAATTAGTAAATGTTAAATCGGCCTCTTGTATACGAATTGGGGTTTTACCAAGTACCAACAAATTTGGGCCAATGAAACAACCCACGTTAATGAATTGGTCTATGGGTTCTACCACTTCCTTTTCTATTTCCAAAAGTGAATTTATTGCTGATCAGTCCTTGAGTTTCACTTTATAGATGCTCGAATTTCTGCTCAAGACAGTCGGAAGACTCTACATTCTGTTAGGGCCTTTGCTTAACGGCATTATATCATCTCCTTTCTCCAAGTTATCCAGTTTTCCTGCTTGGAGCATTTATATCCTTGAGAAGTTTAATGGATCTTGGGTTATACGTCACAGCACGTTTACTATAAAGTTGTGGAAGAATGAACGCAGTGGTTATTTTTTTGGGTATCACTGATTTCATTGTTACAGACAACAGCTACCTACAGATCCTAATGCAGGTACACGAGTTCAAGTACAAAGCCTCGGTAAACGTAATGTACTTGCTTGGTACTCTCTCAAGGTAGACACGTCTGAGGCACTTTCTGGTTGATGGATACGAATACCGCTCCAAGGTCAAGAAATATGAAGAGAACTAATGAACACCAATAACTATTTCACTTCACTCACGAAAGCTACAGGTATATATATATTCAATTAAGGGTTTTAAGGGGATTTATTGATTCCATATTGATATTTATCGTGGACTGACGTCAGTTGGAGAAACCTGAGAGCACTATACAGCTGTTTCGTCCTAGTACGGGACCACTCAGCAGTGCGTACGCATGACCCAGCCAGGAATCAAACTAAAACTTTCAGGTCCTGCAGCTAGCACATTATAATTGAGCCACAGGACCAAAACCCAATAGCTCAATGATGACATGCTGGTCATAGGACCTGGAATCCCTGAGTTCGATCCCCGGGAGCGGAGTCATTGGTGCGCACTACTGAGGAGTCCTCACACAAGACGAAATAGTTGTCCAGTACTTCCAGGTTTCCAATTTTCATCTAACTAATGTCAGTCCTATGACGAATCCAACTTGAAATACATATATATATATATATATATATATATAGTATATATGAGTAGATAGTAAATTGTGCC